AAGCACAAAACCAAAATGCAGCTACGACGGCTTCTTTTCAGTCAAACGGTGTCAATTGTTGTCTGGTCCATTTGTGTCCAAAACTGTTGATCTTGAAGACGTTGTTGTGCCAAATTGGATTCCACTGTCATGATGCGATCCATGAGATACACTATGGGTCCTGCATGATCAATACTCTGAGCTTCCAATCTATATTCTCCTACAATGCCTTTGACAGTCAACGATAATCCGGATGGTGAAGTAGGCGTACGTCTTTCCGCATGTTCAGCTGGCAACGTGATGGGAACCGGTGATACTCCTGATTTTGCTGAGGACTCCGCGATAGGTTATATCTTGGGGGTTGCTTGGTGAGGTCCATGTTCAACTGTACGTGAAGGATGTGAGGGGGGGGGTGAAGGAAGGGGACCGGGCGGAGTCTGTAGAACTGGTGCATGTCCGGGAAATGGTGAAAATGCAGGTGTCGCCCGTGGTACAAATGGAGCTGCTGCACACGGTGAAGACAGTGATACCATCGGTTGTGACGGAAGATACGCAACGGTAGCACCCAACGGCGGTCCATTGGCAGCTTCGCTTCTTGCATGGAGTTCCATATCGCGAAAAAGTCTGCTGAACACGAAAGAAGAAATGAGTTGTTCAAGAATTGTCAGTACATTTAGCGCATGGTGTGTTATGACGAATGACGTGTAGAAATGAAAAGCAACAAATTGACTTAACATGTCAAAGAGCTTGCTATGAGCCAAGGGAATGCATTACCCAGATTGAAAACGCATCAAAATCATGTATCAACTTGCACATGATCGAAAACATGAATCAAGATCGTACACACATCTGCAGCGATAAGGTCCCTACCGTGTTTGACATTCTGCTTGGTTTGAGCATCACAAACTATGTGTGTCCGCACACTTTTGTGATAGGTCTTCCTATATTCTAGATCTCTTCAAATTGATCTCTTGTCCTCACAATTGTAAATTGATTTGAAAGAGAAGGTGGAAACTCATAAAATGACAGTAAGAAGTAGGGTTCCCGGCCAATAAAATCCTTCGGCACATAGCCACCTTCGCCCTATGGGCACCATTCGCCCGTTGGGCACCCCCTTCACATGGAAGGCAAATTCTGAAAGACTGCGTGTAGAGCAAGTAGACCACGTAGATCGAAGAAATCGCGATAAATAAAGTCGAAATGGAAAGGACATGGTTAGATTAAAAGGTGTTAATTGTTACTGGCGAAATGATTGAATATGATGCAATCCAAAGTTTGTATTAGCGAAATAATTGAATATGTTGCAATCCAAAGTTATCGTGCCCTTGTCCCTCACGAACATCAATTGTTTGTTGCAGATTGCGCAACACTTTGCGTGTGGAGAGCGGTATACACATATATCCATATGTCTTCAAAAGGAAGGTGACACTTCTGGGTTGCCGACGCGTGGAACAAATAGAGCAAGGACAGTATAACTTTGGAGTGTTAAAAAGTGAAGATAACTGCACTTCAATTGAAACATGGATACCACGAAATGAAATGGACACAAATCGATTGTATTCTTGTTCTTCCACAAATCCGTTTAAAATGAACGTTGATTAGTTGTCTATGGACGAAGGGCAGAATTCGCCAAAAACTGAGATTCCGACGCGTAGAACACGTAGGTCAGGTGGTTGAGATAGAACGCAGTGATGAAAACAGTAAATGGATTGATTAAATCACAGTTATATAACACTTAAGCCAGTGTGTTGCAGTACCGTGAACCATATAGAGTAGAACAACGGACGTAAACTAAGCTGGAGAACTGAATATAATCAATTACGGAAAACAAATATCACACTGCGAGCCAGGCGTTTTGGGTGGGATGTTGCAGAAAACGTTTGAACAGTTGCAAAGTTGCAATTGGAATGAAAAGCACAAAACCAAAATGCAGCTACGACGGCTTCTTTCAGTCAAACGGTGTCAATTGTTGTCTGGTCCATTTGTGTCCAAAACTGTTGATCTTGAAGACGTTGTTGTGCCAAATTGGATTCCACTGTCATGATGCGATCCATGAGATACACTATGGGTCCTGCATGATCAACACTCTGAGCTTCCAATCTATATTCTCCTACAATGCCTTTGACAGTCAACGATAATCCGGATGGTGAAGTAGGCGTACGTCTTTCCGCATGTTCAGCTGGCAACGTGATGGGAACCGGTGATACTCCTGATTTTGCTGAGGACTCCGCGATAGGTTATATCTTGGGGGTTGCTTGGTGAGGTCCATGTTCAACTGTACGTGAAGGATGTGAGGGGGGAGGTGAAGGAAGGGGACCGGGCGGAGTCTGTAGAACTGGTGCATGTCCGGGAAATGGTGAAAATGCAGGTGTCGCCCGTGGTACAAATGGAGCTGCTGCACACGGTGAAGACAGTGATACCATCGGTTGTGACGGAAGATACGCAACGGTAGCACTCAACGGCGGTCCATTGGCAGCTTTGCTTCTTGCATGGAGTTCCATATCGCGAAAAAGTCTGCTGAACACGAAAGAAGAAATGAGTTGTTCAAGAATTGTCAGTACATTTAGCGCATGGTGTGTTATGACGAATGACATGTAGAAATGAAAAGCAACAAATTGACTTAACATGTCAAAGAGCTTGCTATGAGCCAAGGGAATGCATTACCCAGATTGAAAACGCATCAAAATCATGTGTCAACTTGCGCATGATCGAAAACATGAATCAAGATCGTACACACATCTGCAGCGATAAGGTCCCTACCGTGTTTGACATTCTGCTTGGTTTGAGCATCACAAACTATGTGTGTCCGCACACTTTTGTGATACTCATAAAATGACAGTAAGAAGTAGGGTTCCCGGCCTTTTAATATCCTTCGGCACATGGCCACCTTCGCCCTATGGGCACCATTCGCCCGTTGGGCACTCCTTCGGCTTATGCCACCCTTCAATTGTCCTTGACCCCCCTTCGGCTATTGCCATCACTTCTAGCAGCCCCTATGGCTACTCGCTCAACTTCTGCCTCCGTAGAGGGCGGATTCGGCACACTATGCCAAGATTGTTCTTCCCCATTAGGGATGATAAGGTCATGGTCTGTATAGGACACATGACTAATGCACACTGTTGATTTTTTGGAAGTGAACTGCAATGACGATGTGGTTGTACACGCCTGGTAGAATTCCTGAGTCCATCATCCTTGATAAACAGGTGAAACCAGGTCCAAATCATTAATCAGCAAGGTGGTTCTTGGGTTAGCCACATCCCATCGCGGAAAAGGAAAGACATGATTAGGCAGGTACGTCGATCCAGCGTCCCGGATCGATATCACAGAATGTCATAGCCGTCTTCGTTGGCTGCAGAACTATGACATTCCCTGCAGCCCCCTGCTGTTAAGTAGTCTTTGGCGCATGAATTCGGAAAACATAACGTGCATAGTCTTTGGCGCATGAATTCGGAAAACATAACGTGCATAGTCATCAAATGTCCAGTTGTAGTTTTCTGCATGTGAATAGCAGTGTACACACACACACAAGCCCCTCTGCACCCACGAGAGGTGCGCTCAAGTGTTCTGCATCAGCGCAGACGGGCGCCCCACGGATTGCGTTTTGTAGTGCCATTTTTGCTGCCGCCATTCTTGCCATCCACTTTTGATTGATTGCGACTGCTGTATCTGGGCTTGCTGTGACAACCATTTTTCCTGTTGCAACCACGACGAATTTCTTCATTTGTTTCTGGCTGACAGCTGTCCCTGTGATCAACCAACTGACCTGTGACTCCTTCATTGCGACCACCATTGGAAACACTGACCTGATTGCAGCACACTGTGGGGTTGGCTCCCAAAACGACGCTTCTGGCCTAGCTGCTTTCAGGACATCACAGAACAGTTGGCCATTTTTACCAAGGGACTTCACAGTGCGACGGCATTTCAAATACAGCCTGGCATCAACTCAATTTTCAGATATTTTGCAGACACACATCACTGGGGTCGGCTCCCATCACCTGACTGGCCGTGATTTTGATTTGACGGAATTGCTTCATTTAATTTCAGATCCTATTGCTGCAGACCTGAAAGCTGACTCTTCTACAGTGACGGAACGGAATCCAGTGCTCCACAGGGAACACAGTTTTGCAGCGACAGCGTTCAGGACCACTGGCAGGCACACTGGGGTCGGCTCCCACACACTGACTGGCCGTAACATTCATTTTGCAGCTTTATACATCTTTATTGCCTTTTGGGACATTGGGGTCGGCTCCCATTCACTGACTGGCCGCAATTTTGGATTTTTCAGTGAGCACCATCTTGCAAATACAGATATTAATTTTGTTGAAGGCATCACTGGGGTCGGCTCCCATCTTCTGACTGGCCGTGCAACGTGCTTTACAATTTTTGATCTATTTACAGGTGCTGTCCATTTTGGGGTCGGCTCCCTTTTTCTGACTGGCCGGATATCCTGTGCTACAGTTTTTGATCATTTCACAAGTGCAGCAGACAGCACTGGGGTCGGCTCCCATTTTCTGACTGGCCGTGATTGTGAGACAATTGCAGTTTCCAACAACTTCTCAGGGGTGGGCTCCCTTTTTGAATGTCCCATTTCTAATTACTGGCCCTCAGAGACACCAAACCCATACAGCAAGAACAGTATTTCTTGGGGTGGGCTCCCTTTCACGATTCCCTGGCCCGACGACAATTCAACACACACTGACTGGAGAACAGACAGATTCGATATTTGGCAATTTTTTGCGGCTTTATTTGCATTTGGGTTCTTTTCTCTCCTGCTGGCTAAAGCTGCCCTTGAGGGACAACAACCACATTGGTATTGGCACAAAATTTCGACGACATTCCTGGGGCAAACGTTTTGGACACAAAGCGCCACAAGGAATTGCAATCATTGCAGGTCTGGTCCCAAATCCAGACACAGTTTTGCCTACAGACTCACCGGGATTGGCTTGTTGCTTCTTCTCGGGATGACCGACATTCACAACACCAGATGGCAGAACTGCTGGGGCGAGGGTTGTGACCCTTCCATGTGGGTCACTGAAGTCCTTGACAATGCAACAACATGGACTTGGCCAAGGACGAAGCAACATGGACAGCAGCCTCAAATGTGCAACCGCACCCAATTGGGGCCTGATTTTGCAAATCGAAAATCCAAGGTTGAAAAGAGAAGCATACAAAGGGCATATCGCAGATCACTCAGACTGGGCTCAGCGTGGTATCGAGGACAGCACTACAGCTCCACTGACTTTGAACGCATGGGATGTAGACCCAACAACACGCCTGTGGCACATACTCCAATTTCTCCGGGCTTGCAACATGATTGGGAACAGTGCCACAAACATCACTCAGCCAAGAAACGAATTCAATTTTGGCAGTGGAATTGCGGTGGCCTTGCGATTCCGAAATTGGACGAGGTGAAGGCATGGCTCACCATGAATCACATTGACGTAGCCATTTTGGTTGAGACTCGCATGCAGTTTGATTCAGAATGGAGTGACGCTACATGGAATATACTCCACTCAGGTGAGGGCCCCAACCGTGGGAAGGGGATCATGATTCTCATCTCCAAAAGACTGTGCAGAAGCTCCCAAATCAAGTGGCAAAATCATGTGAGTGGTAGATTAGTACACGTGCGGCTTAATCTTCCCACAAGACCGCTGGATGTTGTGGCTTGTTATCAACACACCTTCCAACCAAATCAATCATGCTTGCACAATCGTGACATCATGTGGACCAAGATAGACAATGTTCTACAAGGGATTCCCAATCGCAATGGACTAATTATTTTGGGAGACTTCAACAGTGCCCTCCAACAAACACATGGACTCATTGGCCATGGAACTTTTCACTGGAAAGGGAAGGAAACCACTGGACGCATCCATAGTGATCATGGAAGGTTCCTGAACATCTTGCGTGGACATGCCCTAGTTGTCCTGAATTCCTGGGACAAGACACTAGGTCCTACGTACGTGCATGGAGACCAAGCCAGCCGGCTGGATTATGCATGCGTGAGGCAGCCCTTTGCTGACTCACTGGCCAAGCAAGTGCGTTATTTGTGGCAATCCCCTTTCATTCAGCAGACCACGCATGGGCATGTTCCGATTTTGTGCAGCATTGCTAGGCATTGGATTCCTGAAAACCGCCAGACCAGCATCCAGCAGGTCACCATGCAGCAAAGACAGGCTGGACGCCTGGCCTACCTTGCACAAACGCCGGAATGGCAAGTTTTTACGCAGCAATCACAACAATGCCTTAATCAGCATCTTGGAGATTTCACTGCAGATGTGGATAACACCCTAGACCAGATGCACAAAGAAGTGATGCGGCTGTATTGCAAAGCTTTTCCCTCCGGCAAGGCTGCCAGAGCCACTCCTGCCTGGAAAGCCGCCTTGCCGACGATCCTCAACAAATGGGATCACAGGAGACAAATTTTGCGGCCACGTGTATGCTCCACACGCAACATTTTTCATGCTTGGTTTCATGTAGCCCGTTTTTGCCAACTCAGAAGGAGTCACCAGAAGCAGGCCAGATGCATCCGCCAAACTCAATTTGCAGAGGTGGTCCAAACAGCTGAGAAGGCAGCCAGACAGCATGATACCCATAAGCTATTTCAGGTGATCAATAGATTTGCCCCCAAACAACCACGCAAGCAAATCCAACTCCGTAATCATGCAGGTCACATGGCAACACCATTGGAGAGTGCTGCAATTGTGAACAAATTTGTTGCAGATACATGGCATGGCCCCCCTTGCATGAACCTGAAATTTGACCGACCACCAGGAGTTCCGTTCACTGTGGACCAGTTGGAGAAAGCCCTGAGCCTGATTCCGAGCACTCGAGCCACAGCCCGCCCGTTTGCTCCAGGGGTTGTTTGGCGCCAACATGCAAAATTTCTTGCACCACTCATACATGCCAGACTCAGGGAATGGTGGTCTTTTTCACCTCCAATCATACCAGCTAGCTGGAGACATGGATGGTTATTCCTCATCCCCAAACCCCTGAAACCTCCTGTTTCACCAGGTAATCTCCGCCCCCTGGCACTCCAGGAACCGGTAGGTAAGGCGATCATAGGTTTGCTAATCCACCTAGCCATGCAAGAGGCCAAACAGCACCTGACTTTATATCCTGTTTGGGCATATCTGGAGAATCGATCAACGCTTGAGGCCATTAGAAGGGTCTGCTCTCATTGTGAACATGTGCGCAGATTGGTGAAAATGCATAGATCGACCCCACACACCAGAGCACAAGCACACCCCAGAAGTGGCCTTTATGGGGGATTGCAACTATGCTTGGACCTTCAACGGGCATTTGATTGTGTTGACAGATGTCGATTATTCTCCAAATTATCCCTTTTAGGTATCAATCCTGCCATCATCCAACTGCTGACCACCTGGCATGAACATATGATGTACATCGTGCAACATGACCACACAGAGAGCAGCATCCCCGTTGGCCGGGGTGTACGCCAAGGATGTAAGGCGGCGCCGGGTTTATGGTGCTTTTTCCTGGTGATTTTCTTTCATGAACTTCAGAAAGATGGTACGATTTCACTCCATTGGATCCAAGAGCACATCACCATTTACGCTGACGATTGTCACCTGGGTGCCTGTTTTTCCAATTTGGAGGAATTTCTTGAATTGCATAGGATCATTGGCATGGTTTTCTCCACGTTTTCTCTCATGGACATGCACATTAATCCTAACAAATCAGTGGCCATCATGGAGCTGAAAGGATCCCAAAGCGGCTGGATCAGACGCCAATTCATTTGCAAGAGACAAGATGCCGATTGCCTGAAAATCACAGTGCCTGAGTATTCAGATGTCCATATCCCAATTAGCCAGACTGCCAAATATCTCGGTGTAGTTATTTCATATGGCAATTTTGAAGCTGCCAGTGTGAAGCACCGCCTCAGCCTGACACGCATTGGATATCGACGCCTGCAGAAGTGGCTCACAGGCAAACACTGCCTGACAACGGCACAGCGGTATCGACTCTGGCAGACTTGCATTTATCCAATTTTCAGCTACGGTGTTTTTGCCATGTGCCTTCCTTCCAATTGCATTCACACAGCCATCACACAGCTGACATTGATGTTACGCAAATTGGCACATGACCACTCCTATATCACAAGACGCACAAATGAAGCAGCACTTGCATTTCACCGCTTGCCGTGCCCGACTCAATTGCTCCACGGCACCGCCGTTGGACTGCTGAGGACGGTCACTGCACGCCAACATGCATTGCTTCCACATGACATTGCGCATTCCATCCAGTGGTCTCATTTGCCGGAACTCATCAGTCGATTGGAAAGCATGCAGGCCACTGCATCCTTGGAGAGACTTGCCCCTCCCACGTTGGAGGCCAATCTGACCACTCCATTTTTCCAATGTGCCAAATGTGATTTTTGTACGGCTGATGTGAGTTCATTTAGAAGACATTGCACAACACACCACAACCATGCAACATACCGCACATGCTTTGCCAAACCAGCTGATTTTGCACTTGATGGATTGCCTACATGCAAGTTTTGCCACACAGAATTTACCACATGGAGAATGTTTGTTGCTCACATTGAACGTGGATGCCAGGCCATACACAGTGGACCCACGTCCTGCACCTTGGAGACGAGCCGTGCTGGTGCGGCCCTTGGCTCCATTGAGCCCATGCAATCCCAACTGGCAGATGCAGCAGCCAGAGGACTTCGATTGATCACAGATGCAGAGCTTCACAACCTGAAGCAACAAAGGTTTGGAGCCAATCTGCTGCAGATTGTGCAAGATCGAAACTGGGAACGTGTGGCAACAGACCAAGAGGCCTGCCAGTATCTTGCCTCCAGGTGCATCATTTGCTCCTTTCAGTTCTCACGATGTCAGGAACTTCATCAACACTACCGGCTCAACCATCCAGAGCTTTGGGAACACGCTCCACAGAAGGGTATCCAGCTCACCAACCTTTTCAGCACAGACAGCCCATGCACCTGTTGCGGAGCATTGTTTTTGACACACATGTGCCCAACATGGTCTCAGATAGCAGTCTTGTTGGTGAATGGAGCTGGCGTGGACACATCTGACATTGAACCCATCACTGATGTTCGACAAAGGTGTGACCTTTGCTTGGAGTTCTTCAGCACACCAGCCAAGTTGGTGCAACACCTTCAAGAAGCTCATGGACTACAAGGCCTGGGGTTCAACGTCAGCAGGGATTCACTTGACAATCAAACAGCTTGCGCGCACTGCGGAACTTTGTTCCAAACTATGGGGGGACTCAAGTCCCACATAGTACAGGGCCGGTGTCAGTTTTTCAACCCCCAGGCGGCGACAGAGACGATTGACATTGATCCCTTGTGGCGTGAGGCTTGCCTGGATGGGCGCTTTCTTGAAATTCTGAAACCTCCTGGAAATCGATTGCGCCTGACAGTGGTCTGTCAGGCCTGTGGGAAGGGTTGCAAGAGGGCAGCAGACTTATCACTGCACCTGCAAACGGCGCACGCCAGACTCTGGCGCCAATCCCAGAGATTGACGCAGGTACTTGTTGATATCTTTTATCAACAACAATGTTTCTGCAACCCGAGCACAGGCTTGAAACGGGGACACCACATTTGCCTGCCATTTAGGCAACTGGCTATGTGCTTCCACCGGCTGGCTTGTGAGCCTTTTGCACCCACGGTGATCACTGACCAGACGCTGCAGGCCACTCTCTCAGACAAGCTCCCCAGATCAGACAGATACATCATAGAGCAAGCCTTGGTTCATCGGCAGTTCAAGACCCTGTGGCAGGAGACGGCGCCCTTGAAGCTGCTGCGGCAACAGTGCCTCTTCTGTGGCGCCAGACCACACACAGCAGACCTGGCACTCCATCTACGAGAGGAGCATGCCAACATGCCTTCTTTTTGTTTTACATGGAACAGTTGCTGCCCAGCGTTCATGCGATGAATCCAGATGACTTTCAATGCCATTTGTGTGGTTTGATTTTCAACTTGCCTGCGCACATGTGCCCTGATGAGCCTTTACATGATCGAGCGGCCCTGGTAATTTCCCATCTGCGTGGCTCGTGCCCGGTGCTTATCCAACTGGCACTGCTGTTTGGCTCTCTGCTGAACGGTGCCACATTGCAGCATGGAACTTGCAGACACGGAGGCCACGACCCAGATCATGGCCAGCTTCGGAGCCCTGGCACCGTTGTTCCGAACGCAGGACAAGTCACTGAAACTGAGCCCCAATCCACGGCAGACCAAGGCCCGTCGAAAAGACGGACACTCCAGCCCAGACGAAGAGATGGATCAACTGCCAGACGGACCACACCAACCAACAATGCGACTGCTGAGCACTCTGGCTCAACTGGCACTACGACACGACCAGGAGTTGCAAAGCCTTCGAAAGATGGATCAATTCATTCTTTTTTTGAGCCCAGAACAGATGGGAGCTTTGCACATCATGATCCAAGAGACAGCCCAGTGGAAATCCAAGATGGAGGCCCAGAATCAGGGACACCTGATGCCACTGCGCCAACACCTCATGCTGGCACTGCTGAACTCACTGCGCACCAGAGCTGGCCAGATCGTGGAGAGCAAGGAGACGGATCAGCTCTACGAAATGTCTCTCAAGAAGGGGGTGATTCTTGCAGACCGCAGTTTCCCCTACCATCGTTGGGATCCTGCGACACAGAAACTGGTGCTGGACAAGAAACCTCCGATCTCCTACAAGAAGATGGAGCAGCACCTGGACGAACTTCAGGAGATGATGCAAGAGAAGGAATTGATTGCCCGCTTCCATGCCCTACGGGGGTTCAATGCATCCAGCCAGAACGCAGTACCCTGGCGCCTGCAGATTCACATGAGGAGGGACAGGGCTTACGAGCTCCTTTACCAGCTCTCTCACAACTCGGTGTGGATGGCAGTGGGGGCATCGATGAAACCTCACACCATGGGGCAATCACCTTTGGCCACGGCGCTTCAGGCAATGACACAGGAGCAGAAGACCAAACCCAAGGGCAAAGGCAAAGGCAAACACAAAGCCACCAAGCAGGAGCCCTGAGAGATTTCCTTCCTCTCGACGTGGTTGCTGCCATGATCCGAGGTGCTTGCAGCCTGATCTTGCGGAATGACAGCAACTGGTGCTATGCCAATGCCACCACATGCTGTTTGTATTGGACTCTCCTGAGCCTTGAATCACCTGAGAAGCTTTTATGGGGGGCACATTGGATGGAACTGACAGCCTTCTTGACACGGCTGGACAACACGCCTGTCGCGCTGACCACGACGGCATGGTTTCAACAAGTATTGTGCCAATGGGGACATGAGCATGGTCAGAGAGACTGTGCAGAATGCACACTTCAATTTCTGACACTGCTGCAGCCGGCAGCTTTTGACATGCGCTGGGAAAGAAGACTGGAAACGCGTGATGACATTGCTCACATTGACCATAATGATACATTCAATCCCATCACATTGACCATTTCAAATCAGATGCATGTTGATGGCACTGGAAACCTGACTGACATGATTTTCGCCTGGCATCAGGAGCATGACATGCGCGCTGCACTTCTGACTGCGCCACCGTGTCTTTGCCTGCACATCGATCGTTTTCATCAAGATCCAACAGGAGAGATCACGAAGAGTTCATGCGATCTGACACTGGAAGCTGAAGTTTTGCTGCCTGTTTTCACCAATGCTGGCATACAGGTTGACACAGTAGGATATATTCCAGTTGCTGGAGCTGCACACATGGGCTCGGACCTTGCGGGACATTGCCAATCCATCTTGCGTATGCAACCCACAGTTGTGACTCACATGGGACCAGCTGCCTGGATGCTCACCAATGATGATGCGCCACCACAACCAGTTTGGAAGCAGCCAGACTGGGTCAGGCAAAACTTGGTGATGATCTGGCTTGTTCGCACAGATTGCATGCGGCTGCCAACATATGTGACTCCTATGGCCACTTGTGCAAGCCCTGACATTGCCCAGCAGAATGATGACAGGCGCGCCACACTCACTGTGGATTGCGCGCCGATGGACACTTCAGTGCCTGCCATGCAACCAGAAGGTCCCTCCAATCTTGGACCACCTGATGCGAACGAAAAGAATGACACTCTGATGGCTGCCGCATCTGAGACCTTGCGACCATCGGAGACCAACCAAAATGCAGACTTGCTGACACTTCTGCAAGCACAGCAGGGCGTGGATGATGTATGACAGGTCACCCAAGATCCTTTTTCCAAGTGACCATTTCTTTTCACCATCTCCAACATTGGATTTTTCCATCAGCAATTTCAGGCCTTGACAAGATTCCAATCTTTGGAACCAACGACACCAGACTCGTTGAAGGCTGGCACAGACCTTTGAGCTTTGCAGAAAAGGCGTGTAGGAAAAAAACACACACACACACACCCGCCACCGTGACTTCCTCCCTCCCCTCGCGTATCTATTGGAGGTTGGCTTGTCCTTGAATTCGTTTGTTTTTGTTTTATTTGTCTTGGCTGTCCTGTGACCTTGTCCCTCTGGCACGTCTGTCTAGTTCTGTAAGGGGAGTAGGAAATAGCCGGCCGGAGCCATAGACCAGGCTGCACTGCAGCGAGTAACACTGGCGCGATCCAGTGGCACTCTCTGTTGGACAGCCCGGGGCGCCCGAGTCTGCGCACATGGATCGTGAGTTTCTTTTTCGGATTGGATGGTACCCAGCTGGCCCACTCGGTGGGTGAGTGGAGATTGTTCTGGATACCAAGGCTGAACCCTTTGGCTGCTACGTTGCAATGCACTGCAGGTATTGTACTGAGACGAAGACACTCGGGAAGCACTTGAACAGTTCTGCAGGTATTTTTTCAGCTTGGCGCCCTCTGACAGTGCACGTTTGAGAAATTGCTTCTTTACAGTTGCGGCCGCAGGCCGTTAGCTACACTGTTTGACTGACTTTGCATGTTGTGCCAAGATTGTTCTCCCTTTCGACCTGGCACGGTATTTATGTCTACCCAGTGACGAACTTGGTTAGTGGCGGACCACGACTGGTCACCTACCTTGCCTTATGTGACCGTCCTTGCCACAGCCACGGAGCTGCTCCCCGCAAAGGGGGCGGCACGATAGCAATCTGGCCGCCAACAATACACTCTCCCTGCTCATGAATACACCGTTCGGTACACGGCAAGTTCTTTAGTCTTGGACTGAACACCTGAACAAGAACCTGTGAGAGGACTCTGAGAGGCTAAGACGCAATTGTGTACAGCTAATGCATTCCTTTATTGTCTGTCAGCAGCAACAATTAAGAACGCGTGTTTCGCCTTACTGGGTAGCAACCAATTCGCTTGGGGCATTTTCTTGAGTTGCGACACAGTGGCTTTATACCACTGTGTCCATGGCAAATCTTTGTTCGTGGTTGTTTTTGTTGGGCCCTGCCCCTTTTGCTGTTTGCTTTGCTTCTTTGCTGGATGGCGAAACGCATATCTGGCTGGGGGATCTGCGTTTCGCCTTTTGTGTGGTTGTTTTTGTGTTTGTTTTTTGTTGTTGATTTGCCATGCTACATGACCACAGGTGTCAATGTAGATTTTATTTCAAACTGCTTCTTCACATGTAAGGACCGAGCCTTAGAGCGTGATCGGCCATACCTGAGGAAAAAAAACAGTCATTAGTCTCCAGAATCACAATATTTTCCGAAGCTTGAATTGGATTCAATGAGTTCCCCCCTTCCCCCCCAATACCAATGTTGATACAAACATAAACGTGAAAAATCGAACGCGCCGGTGTGCGATCAATCTAAGAAGCTTCTCGCTTGCACAACATCCAATATTAAAATTCCAGGGGCAAGGGGATACACATCGAGCAAAGATGAAATCTAAAGCCAGCGGCCACACTACTGACGCAGTAGTTGCTGAATGGCAAACTGCCTGTGAGACACATGGACATTCCATTCTCTCTCAAACATTGAAGTCTGTGCTAACGCTTCCAGCTTAATAAGCAAGCATCAACCCGCCGGGAAAAGACCCGACTGGCCATTCTAGGGGGAAATCCGCCGAGGCAGCTCTGAGTCTGTTTCCTTTTTGCCATGAAATTGCCTCTCCAGACCCTCAAGGGAGGGATGAATCTATTTGGTCTTTTTTGCATTGGGAGAAATGAATTTGTTTTTCACCTTGATGGTGAGCTCAACTGTGATGGTTGACATCGTTTTTGCATGTCCCGTATGAGGCAGCTTTTACTGGAGATGGCGAAACCTTGCAACGATATGTTTTTCATCTCCTTTGTCTACTTTGATTGCACGGAGAACACAGTGAGGCTTTGAATCCGTAGAATGAAATGGAAAATCAATATATTTTCCATTTCCTTCACTTTAGTTTTCGTCGACGAAGAGCACGAGGAAACGGAAGAAGAGTATGAAGAATTAGTTCGTAGAATTCATTTTGTGACTTCGGAAGAAGGAACTTTGATTGACGCTTATCGGAGAAGTTTAGTTTGATTTTGTCTCTCGATGATGAAAGAGTGCAACATTCTGAAGGCATTCAGAATTACCGTTGCCAACAAATCTGAGGGAGACATCATGGAACATGTTTTGGTGTGTGAAATGTTTCAACGTTTTTCAAGCACTCAAACTTATTTGAACAAACAAACCATGTCTTGATGTAAAGACTTTTTGTGACGACATGTGTTTTGATCGTTTTTTGTGAAGTTGACAGAAAGATGTCAACATGCGACTCCGCATCTGTTTTGTGTCAAGGAGGTGACACGTCAACAAGGAACATAGCGACAAGAGCAGAGACATCGTCTTTTGTTGCTTGTCTGTGTGCGGAAAAGTGGCTGAGTTCTCGGATTGATTGATTTGGTTTGCGTGGACGGTCTTTTGTTTCTTAAGGACGACGTCTTGGGCGCTGACCTAGGTAGGTCTAGAGGTTTCGAAGGTAAGGCTACCTTTCGCATGGTAGCGGAGCTGCCTGCTTGCAGCTCGTAGAG